TTCAAGATATGGCAACCCTACATTCTGACTTCTCTCTGCCTTTGAAAAATAAATAAATGCCTCCAAATAGCAGAGCTAGTTATTTTTCAAGACATCATCACCATGAATCCTGGCCTGTCACTTCATAGCTCATGTCCCGTAACATTTCTTGGAAAGTACCCATAAGGCACAGGTGTATTTTCTGGCAATCTGTCACTCATTGCTGTTTGGGAGTTTAGTGCTGACGGGATTCAATGGTGCTTCATCAGGGCGCCTCTTCTGCCCCTCCGTGTCAGTTAAAAAACGGCCTTACTCTGCTGACACAGGGATCCTCAGGGGGAAACGTGGCAATGACTGATGACATCGCGTTTGTCCAGCCAGTAGTATTTTTATATCCCCCCTGAGCAAAACGGGCCTTTTCTGACCGACGAGGGGGCTTCAGGGATGGCAGATGTTATCTGGAAAGCCATTTCAAAGAAAGCTGGGACTAGACAATTGTGGGTGGAGGGAGCTAATATGATGGGGGGGTGGAATAAAGAAATGGTGGTGTCAGGGTACTGCCATCGGAACAGAGTAAGGAAGCAGAGGGGCAGCTGGGTTACAGGGAACCTCTGAAAATCTTGCAGAGCAATTCCTCTTCCTGTGGTGAGGAAAGCCACACCTCCAGTGGGGAAGAGGGGAAGGGACCAGAGGATGGTGCTGGGGGCCTCAGCACCGCTGCTGGTCAAGCTCTTCCGTCACCCACGCTGCGCAGAGGTGTAAAACACAAAGGAAGGAAGGAAAAGGCTGGGGGAGATGAAGCTCTTATGTTGTGGGAGGTCCCGGAAACGACCACTCCTGGATTCTGCTAGCGACTGAGGCAGACATGAACTTGTGGCTCTGCACTGTAAATAGTTTTGCACCAAACCTGTAAAAGACAGGTTGGAGTCCTGAATGGTTACTCACGAGCAACCACTATTGCCATCTGACAGGTGGCATGGATTGGGGGAAGGGAGAGGAATAATTACCATTTGCCAAAATGAACTGGTACTGTAAAGGTTAAGAATAAGCAGCACAGTGGTACCTCGGGTTAAGAACTTAATTCGTTCCGGAGGTCCGTTCTTAACCTGAAACTATTCTTAACCTGAGCCTTAACTTTAGCTAATGGGGCCTCCTGCTGCTGCCGTGCTGCCGGAGCACGATTTCTGTTCTCATCCTGAAGCAAAGTTCTTAACCCGAGGTAATATTTCTGGGTTAGCGGAGTTTGTAACCTGAAGCATATGTAACCTGAAGCGAATGTAACCCGAGGTACCACTGCATTTGTGTTTGTGATAGGAGTCACAAAATCACAGTGTTGCAAACAGTCGAGTTTCTTGTTTTTGCAGGTGTCCACCTGCAACTTACCTCCATGTGCCCTTTGGGGAAACTAGTTGCCCCAAGTGAGTTTATGCTATAAACAAGGGAGCATTACGCAAACCTTTTGCCGCATGCAGTTGTATGGATGTGGGAAATGCCAGAATACTCTGGCATTGGTTCCTCGACTTCAGAGGAATTGCCTCATCAGTGACCTTGGAACTGCTCCCTGGTTGGTTTCATCCTTGGGGAATAACAGAAGGAAACTCAATTTTGTGCAGATTGGAAACGTGTGTGTGTGTGTGTGGAGTTGCATGGCTCATCGGAATCCCTCTGAATCCAACCGAGCCACTTTTCCGTGACAGCAATTACGCCTTTAACAGGAATCCGAGTGTCCTGAAAGGCACAGCTCTTCTGTGTAACCTTGACTCCGTAAAGGCGACTTTATTTACCTGCTCTCCTCTCCCTGTGGCACCTCTGGGAAATCAGACGAGGAGCCTTCCCTGGAAGCCATGCAACTTGATTCTTCGAAATGTCATTGCCAGGAGTGCTGGCGTGTGGTGGAGGTGTCCCACTGGACCAGAGAAAGCTCCATGATCATCGCAGCGTGGGAGGAAGCATTGTTAGCACCAAGAGGCTCGGGCTGGAAATGGGTCAGATGTGGGAGAATGGCTATAAACGTGCCCATAGAAAACTACTTTGTCCTTAATAGTGGGGAGAAATCATTTGAACTTAGAGGGCGCCTGTTCATCTGTAGTGGCATGATTTTTAACACACACAGTGATTTGTAAACCCTTGCCATAATAATAATTTGTACCATGCCCATCTGGCTGGGTTTCTCCAGCCACTCTGGGCAGCTTCCAACAAAGACCAAAAATACACTAAAATGTTACGCATTAAAAACTTCCCTGAACAGGGCTGCCTTTAGATGACTTCTGAATGTCAGGTAGTTGTTTATCTCTTTGACATCTGGTGGGAGGACGTTCCACAGGGTGGGCACCACTACCGAGAAGGCCCTCTGCCTGGTTCCCTGTAGCTTTGCTTCTCGCAATGAGGGAACCGCCAGAAGGCCCTCAGCGCTGGACTTCAGCATCTGGGCAGAACGATGGGGGTGGAGACACTCCTTCAGGTATACTGGGCTGAGGCCATTTAGGGCTTAAAAGGTCAACACCAACACTTTGAATTGTGCTTGGAAACGTACTGGGAGCCAATGTAGGTCTTTCAAGACCAGTGTTATGTGGTCTCGGCGGCCGCTCCCAGTTACCAGTCTAGCTGCTGCATTCTGGATTAGTTGTAGTTTCTGGGTCACTTTCAAAGGTAGCTCCACGAAGAGCGCATTGCAGTAGTCCAAGCGGGAGATAACTAGAGCATGCACCACTCTGGTGAGACAGTCTGCGGGCAGGGAGGGTCTCAGCCTGTGTACCAGGTGGAGCTGGGAGACAGCTGCCCTGGATACAGAATTTACCTGCGCCTCCATGGACAGCTGTGAGTCCAAAATGACTCCCAGGCTGCGCACCTGGTCCTTCAGGGGCACAGTTACCCCATTCAGGACCAGGGAGTCCTCCACGCCCACCCGCCCCCTGTCCCCCAAGAACAGTACTTCTTTCTTGTCAGGATTCAGCCTCAATCCATTAGCCACCATCCATCCTCCAACTGCCTCCAGGCACTCACACAGGACCTTCACCGCCTTCGCTGGTTCTGAAAGAGAGGTACCTTATGAAGGTACCTTTTGCAGTCTTTTGTGTTCCATCTACTGCTTTAGTTTAATTATTGGGGACCACAGTTCTTTAATGATCAGGGACCACAGTTCATTTATCTGGGACCACAGAGAGAGCCTCTTTGGTGGTCGAACCTAGGAATGGCAAGAAAATTGATTTAGTTAACATATAAAGGCAAACCTACCTAATTCGTCTTTTCCAAAACAATATGAGAACCAAAACACGGCTGTCCTTCAAAATTTTGCAGCGCAGACTGAGAGCCAAGTACTGTGTACAGAAATCCATATACAGTAGTACCTCGGGTTAAGTACTTAATTCGTTCTGGAGGTCTGTACTTAACCTGAAACTGTTCTTAACCTGAAGCACCACTTTAGCTAATGGGGCCTCCCGCTGCTGCCACACCGCCAAAGCCCAATTTCTGTTCTTATCCTGAAGCAAAGTTCTTAACCTGAAGCACTATTTCTGGCTTAGTGGAGTGTGTAACCTGAAGCGTATGTAACCCGAGGTACCACTGTATTAGGGTAAAGTGTGCAGGAAAATGCATGTTGTATCAGGGGAAATCGCTTTGCAAAAATGTGCCTATAATGCAAAATCACATACAAATATGTGCATGCTAAGAGACATTTGCTGATGAGTTTTCATTAGGACTTTAAAAAACAACATGTAAAGTGATGTGGAGAAGTGAAAGAAGGTTTAGAGAAGTGGAAAACTGAAATGGGCAGAGTCACCCATTACTGGGCTGTAGAACCTTCTCCCAAGAGAGGCTCATCTTGTCTCATCTTACTGGTTTTCCACCAAATGGTGAAAACTTGCCATAGATAGAGATCTATGGAAGCGTTTGATCACCTGTTCCCTTATTCTGTTGCTGACTTTATTGTTCCCAGTTTTAACGAGAGCATTTAATATGCGTTCCATTTCACAATAGCCTTTTTTATAATGTTTCTGAATTTTATGCATGATGTGCTGTTAATTTTTATTGTTGTTCGTTACCTTGAACTTCCTGAAAAGGCAGGGGATGTGCGTTTGTTAAACATGAATACAAATGAACAAGCCATTTACTGAACCAGACCCTTGGTCGATTTAGCTTAGCGTTGTGTGCTATGAATGGAAGCAGCTCTCCAAAGCCATCTACCACTGCTATTTATTGCATTTTTATCCCGCCTTTCCCACCAAGGAGTTCAAAGTGGCATGAATTGTTCCCTCACTTATTTAATCCCCACAACGACCCTGTGAGGTAGGTCAGGCTGAGAAGCAGTGAATGGCCCAAGTCACCCAGTGAGCTTTGAGCTTGAGTGGGGATTTGAACCCAAGTCTCCCAGATACTTAGTCCAACACTCTAACCACTATGCCATGCTGGCTTTTCTAGGGTGAACCATGAACTCAGTATGTACTCTTGGGCAAGTCACACTCTCTCTCCAATGCATACTCACACTGTCCAGCCATCTTGTCCTCTGTCATCCCCTTCTCCTTGTGCCCTCCATCTATCCCAACATCAGAGTCTTTTCCAGGGAGTCTTCTCTTCTCATGAGGTGACCAAAGTCTTGGAGCCTCAGCTTCAGGATCTGTCCTTCCAGTGAGCACTCAGGGCTGATTTCCTTAAGAATGGAGAGGTTGGATCTTCTTGCAGTCCATGGGACTCTCAAGAGTCTCCTCCAGCACCAGAATTCAAAAGCATCAATTCTTCGGCCATCAGCCTTCTTTATGGTCCAGCTCTCACTTCCATACATCACTACTGGGAAAACCAGAGCTTTAACTATACGGACCTTTGTTGGCAAGGCGATGTCTCTGCTTTTTAAGATGCTGTCTAAGTTTATCATTGCTTTTCTCCCAAGAAGCAGGCACCTTTATTATTATTCTTATTACTGGGAGGTACATGTGAATAGGTTTTGAGTCTCCAAGGCTTCATGACACTGTCTGGAATTGCAAACCGAATGCAAACTCAGCATGACTCTTCTCCCCTTGTGTCCACAGCTCACCCGAGTGCCGGTGGAGTCCTGCGGACAGTACAAAAGCTGCAGCGAGTGCCTGGGCTCAGGGGACCCCCACTGCGGATGGTGTGTGCTCCACAATGCGTAAGTGTGAGGGTCGCAGGGTCGAGGGATGGGTGGGGGCGCAGCAGGGGCAGCAGGCCCCAGGGCTTCCTTCCCATTTCCTTCCTTCCCAACCTCATGTTTTCTCACTGACGGCTGTGGCACAGAACAAAGCTGCAAATGGACACAGCAGCCGTCCCCGGTGGGACGAAGGCAGTCATTTGGAAAGGCATCCTGAGAGTTCCAGCTTCAGAAAGAGAGAGGCAGGGTTGCTTTCTGAAGATGGGGAAATGTGTCCTTTGGTAGAATTTAAAGGACAAAAACAATTGTCACAGTGAAAGTCAGGGAACCTGTACCCTGCTTCTTCTCACTGATAGAAAAAAGACAGTCATGGAACTGAGAAATTGCACGAAACAAATGAAATACTGTGAAAATCCCTGAAACGAGAAGTAATTGACTAGAAATATTATCTTGTGGAAATAAACTAAATAATAAAAATCCAAAAGTTTAAGGAAAACAATTAGAAAAACCTAAAATTGAACAAAGCCTTAACGGGATGCCAGCTACAAACCTCGTTTCACTGAACGTTTCCTCAGAAGGAAATAGAAAAATCATAAACTTTAAATGACCAAATTTTCAAAAAAAGGGTAGAACCCCCCAAAATTCTGATGTATTGTAATCCTAGCTCAACCTAGGTAAAGCAAAGCGCAGTAATAAAGACTAGAAGACTCAAAAGTACTGAATTTACAAGAAAGGTTTGCAAACCTAAATGGCAAGTTTTAAACACACCCCAGCTTGAAGGAAGCAAAGCACAGTAATAGAAAGTTGAGGACTCAACTTGTGAAAATTCTAGTGCTGCTTTTACAAAAAGGTTTAAAAACCTAAAAGGCACAAATTCAAAGAAAGGAATACAAGATAAGCTGTTTTTAAGCAAACTCAAGAACAGGGCTGAAACGCTCTGCTCACTGAGCCCAAACAAAAAGTATTCTGTGTGGTGCCTTTGAGACTAAGGGACCATCTATCCTATAGACTTAAACTGGTCTATTAATTAAAATAATTAATTTCCTTTGCGACGGACCCCTTTTCCTGCAGCATAGGCTGCTGTCTGCTTGTAGCTCGCTAAGATCTGTATTGCTCAAGTGGATCTGGGGGGAGCTGGTGGGCAAGGGAGCGGGGAGCTGCCTCGCAGCAGTGGGATCGCATTTGTGGACTGCCTGAGCCTCTGATGCATCGAGGCGGTCCGGCAAAGGCCCCCTAAGATGCCAAACCAGGCCTGGAGATAGAATTTGCTCTGCACTCAGAGCCTTGATGGAAACATATGCTGCTGCTTTTGCTCTCTCTGCGTGGAGTCTCTGGGACTGATGTCCAGAAGAGCAATTTGCAGCTTACACTGTTTCAAAGGCTACCCCAGGGCGCCAGCAGTCAATGCAAAAGCAGCCGTGAGACGGCGGTAGCTGAGCGCTGGAGAGAGCTTTGGCTATTGGACGCATTGCTTTCCTTTCCTGGCTCCCTCCTCTGCCTGAGAGACTGACTTCTCTTTCCTAGGGGCGGCCTGGCATGGATCGGGGAATTGATTTCTGCGACTCTTCTGTCCTAACCTTACAGGGGGGAATTTGAGTCCGTGTGTGCAGGGGAGAGGGGGGGGAGAGAGAGAGAGATAGAGAGAGAGGGCGAGAGAGAGAAGGCAGCTTGGAAAATAAGGGGGCATTGATTGGGTTTTACGTGGCAAAGAGGGGGATCTGGGAAAAGCGGGCCATCAAAGCTTCAGAGTGCAGTATCTTTTGCCTGCATCTAATTCTCAGGTGCTCTCCTCCATGTCCTCTCACTGCCTCCCGCCGTCCAACACACACACAGAAACACACACACACCATCCAAAGCCTCAGAGGCCACGATACAGGGGCCTCTTTAACCTGCAATGTCTTGCTTGGAGGGTGCAAATCGGAAAGATGTCCAATTAGCTGCCATGGAGGTCTCTGGGGGAGGAGAGGGGAGGCGAAAAAGGAAACCTGACTGAGAAGTTAATAGCTGGCTTAGGAAGGAGAGAGAGAAAGAAGGAGCAAGACTCTGCCTAGGCAACTGTGGTGAGCAATGTCTGAACGCAAGGTGACGGCAATGACATGGGACTGGAGGGCATTTTCTTGGCAAGGTCTATGCCTGAATTCAGAATCTGGTGCCCAGCAGGGTACCATTTTGCTGCCTGCCAGCTACACTCCTCTGCTCCCTTTTTGGAAGGTCTCTGTATACAAGGCCCAATTCCAGGAGGGTCTTGCAATACCTGGAAGACTGGGGTTTGCCTGCAAGCTGCGACCATGTTATCCCTTGACACTTGATAGCTGTGTTTTTAGATTCCTCCCGAGTCTCCTTCTTGACCTCCACAGTCACTGGCTTGGCCAGATAGAGTATCTTGTCTTCTCTTGCCACTGCTGTTGGCCTAGCAACTGAGGATTGTGATGTCACAATTCCCTGTGACATCACAGCTTGTCAGCCAACGGCATCCACCAATCAGGTGTCCTACATCCTAGAGCATCCTTTGTTAAGTTGAAGGTGAAACGCGCTTCCCTTAAAAACAAAATCAGTGAGGACGCAGAGCTCAGGCAAGCTGGCAGCCAGGACTCACTGCCTTGAATAAACAGCCTAGGGGGAGATATTATAAGGAAACTCCTCCCATGGGGATTTCAGATCAGGGAATGTGGACACCTGGGGAGGCTGCAGCACTCCAGAGGATACATGTCATCCTCAATCACCTCACATTGACAGAGCAAGCTCAGGTAATTCTTCATGCAACACATAATTAAACTGTGGATCTCGCTTCCAGATTAGGCATTGATGTTCACCAACCAGGATGGCTTTAAAAGAGGATTATATTAATTCATGGAGGATGGGGCGATTGATGGCTGCTAGCCATGATGGAGGATGTGCTGTGCCTCAACCCTGCACCTGTTGTAAGCCAGAAAATAGCTTATCTCCTGAGTTTATGCCAATGAAACTCAGAAACATGAGGAGTTAGGAGTCCAATGTTGTTTATTGCGAAGCAATAGGTTACAGTTGGATCTGCAAAACTGCAACCCTGCCCAGTGGTCCAGGCAGTGGTATTTATAACATTTCAAACAAAGCATTTCAATTTTCACCGATCATATACATCATTGCCTCTTTTCATGTTTTACACATGCACAATAAGCACTAGCAATTTCCCCACTGTGTTCTGTTACATTGTGTTAGTATGTTGGGAACCTGTGTTACATGTAGCCATTTGCACCATGTAGCAACTTATGTTCTAGCTTTGAGCTGTGTCTTTGTGATTCACATATTAGCTGTGTTTCTGCCCCAATGGCGGGGAGGCAACTTGCAAAATCATCGGTTTCATTAAGGAAGGTAAAGGGACCCCTGACATTGCCGTTTGAGCTTCGGGTAGCAACTACATCACCTCTTCCTTGCGCTGGGGAAGAGTTGATGGCCAGCTCAGGCACTAAAGGTAAAGGTAAAGGGACCCCTGACCATTAGGTCCAGTCATGGCCGACTCTGGGGTTGCAGCACTCATCTCACTTTATTGGCCGAGGGAGCCAGCGTACAGCTTCCAGGTCATGTGGCCAGCATGACTAAGCCGCTTCTGGCGAACCAGAGCAGCACACGGAAATGCCGTTTACCTTCCTGCCAGAGCGATACCTATTTATCTACTTGCACTTTGATGTGCTTTCGAACTGCTAGGTTGGCAGGAGCTGGTACTGAGCAACGGGAGCTCACCCTGTTGCAGGGATTCGAACCACTGACCTTCTGATCGGCAAGTCCTAGGCTCTGTGGTTTAACCCACAGTGCCACCTGCATCCTCATAAAGTAAGAGGCTACCATAACTTCTGTATTAGAAGCACACTCAAGGATTTACAGGGGTACACATTGTCACATTTACTGTGGCCCTTTGGGCCACTGCCACACACCCACTGGAATTCTAAATAAATTCTCAATCACCCCAAGAAAGATGCAGGGGGAAAAAGGGGGAACATTACTTTCAGGAAATTGTAGGGTATTTTTTGGCTCAGTGCTACTCCTGGAAGATCTATGCTGATGAAGCCTGTTTAGGTTGGAGAGTATGCATTTCACGTCTCCTAGCTTTCCAAGAGCTTCTTAGCAAACTTTCCTCAAAGGGGAGGAAAACTCCATTGAAGCCGCTGATCTCAGATTATTTTGTCGGGCTGGGAGGAGGGAAGGTTTTAATTTTACCCTTTCAACTTTTCCCTTCCCTTCTGCTGCCTCGGCCATGGAAATAAATATTGTCTGGTCTCGGCGGGTAACTCAATCCCTCCATTCACAGGCAGGTCCTCATCGATCGACCTCCGCTTTACCTTTCTTGGTCAAAGTCTTGCGAGCCGCTAAGCGGGGCCTCAGGTAATCCTAGATGCCTTCAGAGGCTGTGATAAAAATCAGGCTCTTTGAAAGCCTTTCTCCCTTGCCTCTCTGAATGCCACTCTGCCTTGGCAACTTACTTTGATGACTGCTGCAGGAGGATGCAGCCCTCCTCGGATCCTGGCAAGCTGAACTTGGGGCAGACTCGTGGCAATTCATTCATTTTAAATTACCTGATCTCGATGGCTTTAAAAGAGAATTCGACCACTTCTTGGGGGAGAGGGCTAACACTGCTTACTTGCCATAGTAGTTATGCTGGAGGCAGCAATGCTTTTGAATACGATGCGATATGATAATCTTTATTGTCATTGTCCCATACAGAACAACGAATTTGAAAAAAAATCTACATCAAACATTCAAAAACCCACAAGCCTGCTATCCCAGCCTGGTTAGCCCCTAAAAACTCTGATACCCCATAATTGAATACAATATACTCACATAAAGACTACCTTACACTGCGTTTAAAACCAAAATCGCATTTGGATAGAACCTGTTTCTCAGACGGCTAGTCCTAGTCTTTATAACCCTGTACCTTCTTCCAGCAGGCAGAAGCTGAAAGAGGTAATTTCTGGGGTGCGCACTATCCTGCGCTATCTCTGCAGCTTTCTTATGGCACCTGGAAGCATATTAGGCGCTTTTGCATT